GACCTGGCATGTAAAGGTACAAGATCCCAGTAATGAATATAGCTGTACTGTCTACCTAGAATGTACCAATAAATTCAATTTTAAACAAAAGAGTGAATGGGCCAGCGATTTAGCTCAGTGGCACCACACCTGCCTTGCAAACACGAGGTCCTGAGTTCAATCCTCAGTACCAAGGGGGGGCAAAGTGAGAGGGAGAAAGCAAGCCAGCCAGCCAACCCTTCTGGTCTTGCCTTCCCTGCCTCCAGTAGCGGAAAGAGCATGGATTTAAAGTCAAGAGGCCTGAGCCCACTCTGCTCCTGGTGCTATATGTACCATGACCAGCAGAGCCTTGAATGGATCTCCTTTTCTCTCTCTGTCTCTGATAAGCTCCCTACCATTGGAGTCAGACAAGAGATAAGCAAGCTCTATTGCTGGCCCTGGGCCGTGGTCTGTGGGTGCCCAGGATCTTACAGGAGCTGCAGTGGGGGATGAGGGGCTCCTGGCTTGTGGCAATGACCGTCACCAAACCCCAGCTGTCTCTTTACTCCCCACTTCACAATGTGGTAGCACCCACATTCACTTAACTCTGGGTGCAGCTTCCCAAGCACAGGGGCTACTTTCTGGAAGAGGCTGAACTGGTCTAAATTCATCACTTGGTCGTTCCCTGGCTTCTTATTCACTGATCTTCCCACCCAGATTACCACCACTCCCTCCTACAGCCTGTTCTAATTCTCCCGAGTACTCAGCTCTCCCCATGTCTCTGTCCCCAGCTGGCATCTACCCCAGTGGTAGCTTGGTGTTTGTCATTAATCAAGTCCTAGAGGTATGACAAGTACCAAACAAATTGTTTTGGCTGGAAAAGCTAGCGAATCACGAGGCGAGTGAGTGATACAAGTTCTAGCTGCTGCATTGAAAACCAAACAACTGAACAAACAAGTACCAGGACAAAATTTTTTCATCAGAATGCATGGATATCAACTTCCACTACTTTCAAAGCCATGAGTGCCAAAGTATGAGCGTATTTGAGAAACTGCAGCCACCCTGGCCAAGCAACCTTGCCATCCCTTCCCTGTGGGGCAAAGGCTTTGTCCTAGCACTGTCCATCGTGCTGCCTCAGTGAGTGCCACAGTATGCCAGCATCCCTGGCCCGCGCAGTGGGGCGCTCGTAATTGTGTTCACAGTTGCAACCGCACAGGGCTGGAGTTTACCGGTCTCCCAGCAACAAAGCCTGTGTGGTGGGACCGGGAGGGCTCTCCACAGATTGACTGTTCTAGTGCCCCAAACCTAAAAGTGTTCCCCACATGTGATTGCCATCCAGCCCCCTAGTAATCCTCCAGGTTCCTGCTTCCCCCCAGCCTCAGTGCCAGTCCCCAAGGCCCACACACTGCATGGCAGGGTGCCCTGATAATTAGTGCAAACATGCCCTTCTTTCCTCGGCCCCAGGGGGGTCTTTAATGCACACCCCCTGGAAGTTCACCTTTCTCCTCCCAGTGGCCAGGATGGGAAGGTGCCCCTGTCCTGTGTTCAGCATCAGAATGTGCTCACAGTTAATGAGTGTGGCTCCCTCTCCTTGCCGTTTCCTCTTGTGACTGGATCCCTCAGTGCTGATGTCCGGGGGCGAGGGGGGCTCACCAGTTATCTGACACAGGCAGTGTGGTTTCCAGTTCTTAGTTGCTTTTGTTGGATTTTGTTTTTATCTATTTGGTTGCACCAGGATATCTGTACCACATTACCCTCCTGGGCATCTTTTAGTCCCCCAGTTTTCTCTGCCAGCTCCTAGGCTGTCTTCTTGTGCCATTCATAAGTTGGATTGCAAAAGAACCAGTACTTCCCTAAGATAATCATAGGAAAATAAGCTACTTACAGAATCTAGAGAACTAACATTGATTAGTTTCTACATGTGCCAGGAGGTTTAAGCCAAAACTCATTTACTAAGCCCCTGTGATGTACCAGATACCACGCTAGACCCCAGGGTGAAGAGAGCAAGAGTGAGCTGATAATGACAACCTGTGTCTGTTGGGGGCTGGGGAATTATCAGAGATCGAAAAGGTGAGGGGTGTGTTCTGAAGGGCCTTAGACACTGCAGGCTGAGTTTTCCAGAAGATATGAATGGATGATACAGGAAGTCTATACAAATATATTTGGGACACCAGACTTTTTAAAAATAATTCATAGTTGTTTTTGTTTTTGTTTTTTCTTGCAAAACTCAGCAGCCTTTACTGTGCTGGCAGGCAGTGTGGATTTCCAAAAGGATCTGCACTGCGAACAGCACTTCCCAGACTTGTCTGGCTAGGGAACCCTGTTTCTCCCTTCATACAACGCATCTCCCAGGGCAATATTTCTCAGCCTTCCACTGAGCTGACTTAAGCTGGCACGTGGCATGATTGGGCATGTGTTTCTTTCAGTCCACTCTGAAAACAAGTGTAGAAGAACAACTGGGAAGGTGAGAGGCGGGAGGTGGGGAACCTGCTTGTGGTGATAGTTGCTCACGTGTAGTGGCGGCACTGTGCACCATCTCCCTGAATCTTCCTAACAGCCCTCTCTGGTAGAGAGCGCCACTACCCACCCTTCACAGGTGAGGACAGTGAGGCTCAGAAGGGTAAACTGTAGGCCCGAGAGCAAGTGGTACAACTGGTGTCCTGTCTGACGCTGTCTGACCCTAGAGGCCACCTCCTGAGCACTCTGCCAGGCTGCCACCAAGGAGGGATGAAAGTAGCCCAGGCCAGAGATGACAAGCAGCGGGGGCGGTGGAACTAGAAAGATGGTGACCAGAAGTAGAGCAGCCAAGCATGAGAGAAGCAGGGGCCATTGGCTGTGTGGAAGAGATACTGGGCCTGAAGGCAGCAACCTGTGCACTGTGGAGAGATGGGCTCCCCTCTCCCTGTCCTCTTCTTCCTCCTCATGAGCAGTGTGACTGAGGGGCTCCATTTCCTTTTGCCCCACACCTTCCCTGTAAGCCACAATGGGGAAGAAACAAAACAGCCATGCACATCCCTCTAGGTGACATCCAGCTCTCACGTAACTGCCAGTGAAGAAGGGCTACCAGGCCTGGGGTGGCCCCCATTCCCACTATTGGTGTAGCATCTGGGAAGCCACAATGCATTTCCATTCATCGAAGACTGCTCTTCTCCCCATAAGCCCCCAGATGCCTGCTTGTGCCCAGCCTTAGCACCATGAAGCCATGTAGGAACTAAGCAGCTTCAGGTGCTGGCCTTGGGCCATCGGCTGCAGAGACACAGAACCTTACAGGGAGCTGCAGTTAGCGGATGGCTCTCCATGTGCTACAGGGAAATCCAGTCCTCCACCACGTCCCTCTGCCAGCTTTCTGCCTGGGCCATTCTAAGAGATCCTATGCTGGGCACCAGGGACACCTGTCCAATGTGCCCTGTCCTCTATGAGTTCCAAGCCAGGTGTGGTGGCATATGCCTATAATCCCACCTCTGGAAGGCTGAGGCAGGAGAATCAAGCTCAATCCCAGCCTGGGAAATTTAGCAAGAATCCTGCCTCAAAATAAAATATAAATATACAAAGGACTGGGGATATAGCTCAATTGAATACTCTGACTTTACCACCAAAAAAAAAAAAGTTCCAGGCAGATTTGAGATCCAAAGTATCTCACTCCCACCAAGTGAAAGAGGCTGAGAAAAATGTGACATGAAGCGGGGGGATTTAGCTCAGGGGTTCGGTGGCCTGCCTTGCAAGCCCAAGGACCCGAGTTCAATCCCCAGTACCAAAAAAAATAAAAAATAAAAAAAATAAATGTGACATGAGCCACACATGCAAGGCACATGTGGAATTCTAAGTGTTCTAGTAAAGGCACTTAAAAAAAACACAGATGAGATTGATTTAACGATATATTTAACCCAAAGAGCCAAAATAATATCATTTCAATATGTAATCAGTTTTTTAAAACTACTGAGAAATTTTACATCCTTTTTCCCTACTCAGTCTTTAAAATCTAGTACACATCTTAATTTGGACTCACCGCACGTGGCCATTGTATTGGTCAGTACAGGTCTGAAGGTTGACAAATAGTGGCATACCTTTGTGAACCGAGTGACTAAAGGGACAGGGACCAACTGAAAGGCTCAACACTTGCTGGGGAGCCACGGTCTCAGACTTGTGTAGATTTTTACTCTGCCTACCACATCGCGTTCAGGGCCTCTAGATATGCTGTTGAAAGAACACAGCTTGGCTTTTGAGATGAAAGGTTTGAGGGTAGAGCTGAGAAGTCTGTACTCTGTTGCTTTTGATTCACATCCTGATTTCAAAGCCAGGCATTTTGTATAAATTGTATTTGTTCATCAGACATTTATTGAGCAAGTTTTTTTTTTTTTTTCCTCCAAGACCCATACAACCTTCTGCAGGCACAGGGATGGATCCCTCAGGGAAATGGATATTTCAAAGATAGTGTGTGGGGATAGGGAGGTACTTCACAGTAAATCCCAAGAAGCAGAAAGTATGGGACAGTGAGGGTCCCGGAGGCACCCCCTCATCTAGGCAGGGTCTCGAGGGACAAGTCTATGTTTACCAGGCCAACCGGGACAGGGTAGAACATTATACCTAACGAGCAAGGAGGAGATGAGGCACCAGAGCCCAGGCCCTTGGAAGTCTGCTCAGGGAGGGCACAGGTGAGGGTTGGGGAAGGTCTACATGCGGCAGAGTAGGGTCCAGGTATTGGAGGACTTGGAATGCTGGCCCAGGACAAAGGGGCACCAGAGGTTTTGAAGCTGGGTGTCGCATGGTCACACTGCAATTCAGAAGTTCCCTCAGCTCCCTGGAAGATGATGGAATCTTAGCAGGGGGATTGCAGTAATCTAGATCAGAGACAAGGCCAGAACTGAGCGATCAGCCGAAGGGGTGGTCTTAGATATACAGGGCAGGGGAGAGGAGCAGGGAGCACCGAGGACAGTGCTGTGACCCTGGCTTAGGTGACTGGATGCTTTCTCCCATACCGTGTGTGGAAATGCATTAAACCATCTCAGTGTGTACTGATGTTTTAAGTTTCCACTTTAATGCAGCCACAAAGACTCCGTCCCACTCGACCGCCGCCTCCCAAGATACAGCGCGCAAGGCCCGTGAGTAGCTGGTGTTTGTGCCCTCCCGCCTAACACTGCCTGAGCCATTCTCCCCAACCTGACTAAACCTTGGGAGTGTGGACTCTCCTGCCTGGCAAGAGGAAACCGGGAATTGGGTTTCTCAGCTTCCCTCGCTGTGTGGCATGAACCTGAACTTGCATTTGCTGGGCTTCTCTCTCCTTTTTCTGAATCAATTCTGATGCTCAGGTCGGAGGCAAAGGTAGCCAGGTGTGTGCAGCCCTGAGCCGATCTCACGGGCACGCTGTGTTTCTAGCCAAGGAGCTTTAAAGCTGTGCTCCAAATACCTCTTCCTCTCAAGGGAAGCCAAAGTCTGGCAACAGGGGTCTTATTCCTGCCAGATCTTGGTTTGGAAATGCATTTGGTGTTCCCTCCCGAGGGCAGAGGCTACGCCCAGAGAATATGGAGCCAGCCCAAAAGGAGACAGGCACTGTGCCCCTGCCAGGCCTCCCACGGAGAGCCATCCTCCCAGGAAAGTGTGAAGTTGAGTGGAAAAGCAGGGCAAAGTGTGGTAAATACACCAACACCTGGGAATGGGGCAGGAAGGGAAGAGAGGCCCATTGTGTGTCTTAAATAGAAAAGCCATGGAAAAACATGAGGCGTGGGTCTGGCATTGAGCATTGGGTGAGGGTGTTTTCCCTCGTACACTCAGACTTTGGCTGTGCCGAAGCATAATAACTTTAGCAGGTGCCTTAAAGTGGAAAACTTGCCAGGACCATTTGATGAGGGCTGTTTACCTAGGGAAGTTTCCCAATCTGTTGTCCTAGGCATCTCCACTTCATGGTTAAGCGCAGAAAGTCAGCTGCAATCAGAATACCCCATAGCTGACATCCCAGCCCATGCCACTCTTACCAGTGCACATAACCAGTCCGTCTCATGAAGGCACCAGGCCAAACTATATATCTGACCCTCTCTAATCCTTAGTGCATGCAGCATCAACTGGATAACTGCTCTCTGGCTGGATGTTGGATGTTCTGTGGTGCCGTTTCCTCCCCTTACCCACCATGTGTAGGAATTAGAGTGAAAGGGAGAAGGCGGAGGATTTAGATGGCTTCATCTGTGACAGCCATAAGTTCACGTCTAAGCATTTGGGGCAGTGGATTCATCCTGTGGCCCTATAAAACCATGATTAGCTCAAATCCTAACCAAAACAGCTGTCACAGGGCTAGAATGAGCCTGCTTACTGTCGCTGGAAGGAAGGCACAAGCAGCAAGAAGGTCCACTTTGGGAAACAGGAAGCCCCTTCTGGGTTGAACCTTGTATAATTGGGTGTTTCGGTACAGTCATTAGCAGCATGGATTTGGGGAATCGACAGAGCTAGTCTTGAATGCTGAACTGTGTGCCCAGGCAAGGACTGAAACTCTTGAGCCTCACCTCTGCCTCTGTACTAGACCCGCATTCACAGGGATTTTCTGTGAAAACATCTGAAGAGCACCCAACATAGCACCTAGAACACAGTAGCAATTGTCATTCTTTTGAACAGGTTCTTACATTTTACAGCTTCTAAGGAATGGCCCAGTTTATGAAGAACCATCATTTGCTTGGGATTATATAGTCAGCAAATCACTCAGGTACCTCACCTCAGTTGAGCTCCACAGTAGCTCTGTGAAGTTGTCACCACCCATGTGACAGATGACAAAGCACGTGCTTTGTGATTTAACCCAAGTCCCTCTCCAGGGATCAGCAGGCTCTAGAATCTGTGGTGTTTTCAGCATCCCAAGCTCCCAGGGCCCTCCATCTCCATGGAAACAGAGGTGGACTTAGCATAAAGTACTGGGACAGAAAAAATAGTCCGCAACTAGTTGGGCCTCCTGTGGCATTGCCAGGCAATGTTCAGTCCTGGCAGGGATACAGAGGTGGGGAGAACTAATGCATATTGAGCACCTTCCGATGTGTCCAGGTCTGTGCTGGGCACCCATATAGTCACTGTGTCACTTGTCTTTGTTATAGTTTACAAGAGGCAGATGTCCTTTCCCTTTTTTGTAGCCAAGACCACAGAGATGACAAGAGGCCGAACTGGCCTATGAAGCCAGACCTGCCTCTCCTTGTTCCACACCAAACAGCCTCCCCTTAAACCAGCCTTAAAGGGAAGCTCTCCCCATCCTTAAGAGGTGTGAGTTCCAGCACAGGCAGGCAACCAGCATGATTCAGGGCACAGTTAACTCCCCTCAGAAAAACTCAGGCGTTGGAGACAGCTGGAGAGGTAGAGGTTGCCAGAAGAGAAGCCTGATGCGCAGCTCTCTCTGCCCTTGACCTGGTGCAAGGATGAGAAGCTCAGCACTTAGAGTTGCCCCTCCCCTGGTTTCTGATGCGCTGAGGAGGCAGGTGCCTAGGAGGACTAGCTCCCCTGGGGCCCCAAGTCAGAGAGCCTGTCACTGAATCACAGCTTGACCTGTTCCTGGCTGTGTGGTCTTAGGCAAGATCCTTACCTGCTCGGAGCCGTAGTTTCGTTGTCTAAGAAATGAGTATGTATAACAGCACTCACCTGGTGGGGATAGTGATGTCATATGCTCAGAGTGCCCAGCAAAGTGCCTGGCACGAGATGAGTATGTACAAGTGCCAGGCAGGGCGGCTGAGAGACAATTTAGGAGCCAGAGAAGATGTGCGCTTCCTGTGCCCATGGTGCCCTGGCTGCAGTTACTGTTCACTCTGTGTGCATTTATACAAGCACTTCTAGTGGACGGCACTCCATTCTGAGCAGGAACCAGGGAAACCCAGCCAGGCTGGGATGGGGCTCCTCAAGGGTTTCGAAGACGGCCTGACAAGCTCCCAGCCAGGCCTTATGGGTCACTTAGTTGTAAACATCCATTGCAGCCACCGGCACAGGATGGTGGGCACGGGCTGGGCCCTCAGCCTTCCTGGAAGGAGTTTTGTAGTCTGGCACCTGTGGCTGGAGTTCAGCTGTGACCACAGGGTTCAGGTTTTTTATGAAAAATAAAAGAAAAAAGCAGAAGAAATCTGTGCTGGGGTCTCACCAACCAAGGGCAGTGGTTGGGGCTTGCTGGGGAGAGGCAGGCTGTGGTCAGCCCGTCTATGAGGCACTTTATAAGCTCTGTATTTATTATTTCTCGCTCACCATTAAAATCAAATGTACTCGGTGCTTTTGTATTCAATACACATTTAACCCTGCCGACTTAGATTTCGCAGATTTTAAATCCAGTGGGGAATTGGCTGGCCTCCCAACTTTCCCCTCCAGTCCCCCTTGAACAGAGCTGGAAATCCCTGTTTAGCATTTTCTCCCCTGGCGCTGCTGGGATCCTAGCAGTGGTGGGTCCACCCCGAGCAAGCGAGGGAGTGGTTTTCTCCCTCCTCCCCAGCCCCTACGCCTACGAAGCACCCCCGAAAGAGGAATGTGATTGCTGAAATATGACGGGGTCTCCACATTGTCCTGTGATTCGGGCTTAATTAAACCATTTTGTCTGTGTGTGCCTTTGGCTGGTTGCGGTCTGCCGTGTGAGCATGCGTGCGTGTGCATGCATGTGGGGGGAGATTCGTGTGTCTTCACCTCCATGCATGCCTGTATCTGTCTGTGAGACTGTATGTATGTTGGAGTCCCCAGGCCTCAGTGATCAGGGTGGTTGTCTGTGAGGATAAATTTTGCGTCTGGCTTTGTCCACAGCAGTCAGGGGTGTGGGTGTTGTGTGGGGGTGGGGGTGTGTAAGTGTGTGTGTGAGTGTGCGCTCTGGACAGAAGAGGTGTTAGCTACCACACCAATCATGGTTCACACCTCTGCTCATTTCTTAGGGTAATTTCAAGTAATAGGAATATTTATAAGGCTCTCACCAATCTTTATTATTACCTGCTGAGAATTAAAAATCATTGCATACCTTCTGAGCATTTATTACTATAACAAAACTCAAGTATTTGATAAGAGGAAAATGGCTTCCTATTGTTGCTTTAATTTTTTTGAAAGAACAGCAAGCTTGAATCCAAGGGAGAACTAGCATTAGCAGACAGAGGCCTTGAAGTCCAGGCCTGGGGTTCTCCCCCTCCCTCTCCCTCTGTCTGTTTTATCAACCCTAATGAAGCAGTCTCCTCCATCGATCCTGCTGATTGCCAACCCATTCCTTTTGTTTGTTGGCGCTGAGCCATTCAGCGGCACTCTGACAGCTCAGCTCGTCTAATTAGCTCTGTTGTTCTTTTTCCCCATGTTTCACCACGTTGCAAGTTCAGTTGAAGTTGCCACAAACTTAATCCCCCCATTTCAGCCACAAGTTCACATTCTTAACCCGCCTTTATTGTAGCAAGGAGCAGCCCTGTGCAGGATGAGCTGACAGGCCTTAAAGTCTGACCTCGCTGGAATGCTGCCCCAGCCACCCCGGGGCAGGGGCAGAACTGCTCCTCCTCCCCAGCCGCATCCACTCGCCTTCGCCTTTGTGGGTAGCAGGCTGGGGGACCCTTCTAGTATGCCTGTCCTGTTTGTGTTTTCCAGACGAGTATGGCTGCAGCTAGGGAAACCAGCATAGAGTTAAAATGAGGGCGAGGGACATATTCATTCATATATTCACCAGATGTTGACCGAATGTCATGTAGGTGGTGGGCACCATTCTAGTAACAATGATAACAATAGTGACAGTCTTATGCACCTCATAGATCCCAGGCAGCAACATTCCAATGTTTCTGAAAATCTCCCTGAGAGGCCAGGGATTTAGCTCAGTGGTTCCAACACCTGCCTCGCAAGCATAAGGTCCTGAGTTCAATCCCTAGTACCTAAATAAATAAATAAATAAAAATCTCCCTGAGTTTCCAGGTATATACCAGGCACATTGCAGGAGGCTACGAAGGAGATAATCCTAAAATTCATCTGCTAATTCAGAGGTGCCCCCCATCTTCCTTTTGTTGATTGGAAAGAAGGGGACATCCCAGGCACACAGAAGCAAGATGAGCATGTATTAAGCCCCCACTATGTTCCAGATCCCAAGCTGAGGCATCCTCTGAGCCTGCCCTGTCTTTACACCTTCACAGTGGTCCTGTGGAAGAAAGCAGAGCAAGTTTGGTGGGATGCAATTGGCTTTTACCACAGCTCTGATTTTCCACACAAGCCTGGTCTCAGACTGGCCACTCCACAAGGAAAGCTCTGGTTAGATCAGACTTGTGCAGACCTGAGGGGTAGATGCTGTACTAGAGAGGCTTGTCTTGTATTCAGCCAGCTTCTGGAATCTTGTTCCGAAGCCATTGTGCTGTGTTGCTCATGGATCGCTGAGGGTGGCAGTGTTTAGGAAAAGGGCAGGCAGGAAATGGAACACACTCATTCTCTCCTTCCCTGTCTTGTCCTCAAAATTCAGCAAGTGCCGTGTCACATCTGCAGGGAGAGTGAGCCCCCGCAGCCTCTGCAGTGAGCAGTTTTTATTGGCAGTGAAATTCACAGAGATACTTTTTAGCTTAGCTCTCTCCCTGTTCCCCTCTGGCACTGGAAGTGGTCAGAGATGATGGTACCAAATGTAAACCCATGTAATGTTGATTGGACCAAATGAGTTTCCTTCGAAGAGCACCTAGAAATTCTTAGCCTAACATCCATTACAGCTCTGGCAAAGGAGGGACTTTTGTGGTCTGGGCCTTTGCTTGGGTTTCAGAGGTGGCAGTTTAGAGTATCCAACCCATCTTGTCATCAGAGCTCTGGCCATGAGGCTAGGAAGCTGCTCATTTCCTGGAACATCTACTGCCACCCTCCAACCACATCTGCACTCAGAGTGTGACCGCACAAGGTGTGTGACTTCTGAGCCCTGCTGGAAGTCTTGCTCAGGGATGCCCTGGGTTTAATTGGCATTCTCTGATGCTTTCCCCCTCCCATTTAGAGTAGAAAAGAACCCTGTAACTCAGTTATAAAAAGAGCAAAATAATTACACACACCCTAAAACAAATCTGAGGGATACTTTTTTAGTCCACGTGGATAGGTTCTTATTCTCTGAGTCCCTTGTAGACACCACCTCTTGTAACCTTCACTGCAGCCCTGACAGAAAGCTGGTGAGACTTTCCTCTGTCTTGGAGGACCTTTCTGACCGAATGGGCCACAGAAGTCCAGTCAATGTGTCAATCCACTGCACATCTGGTGGTGTTTCATGAAAAGTGGGGTTTTTGTACCCAGTACTTTGAAAATGCTTAAACATGTCTTTTGGGGCTACTTATCCAGATCTTTAGAATGTCCCTGTGTGGCTTTTCCAACTCATTCCTTCTTGGGGGTTTCCCCATGCCCATTCCAGGTTCGCCCGCCCCGTCCTCATGTTGCCAAGAGACCAAAGAGCAACATCTCCGTGGAAGGCCGAAGGATGTCCGTCTCGAGCCCCGAGCAGTGAGTACCCGTTGCTCTCCGCCTTCCTGCAGGAACCCAGCAGGGCAGCACTTTGTGGCTCTCAAATCTGGAGCCCCAGCCTGAGCAGGTGTTTCTCCAAGAGGCCAGTCGGGAGTAGGGATGGGTTTTCAGTGTAGGCTGCTGCTTGTTCCTTCTGTTCTTTCAGTTGTCACATCAGCAGGAGGCCCAGAGACCAGGAACCACTGGCACCTGGGCTGGGTTTTGAGTGGTGAGGCCCATGGGGCATGCAAAAGCTCCAAAGAAGACCCCAGGCTTCTTATGGTAAAGATGTGGAGTCCTCAGGTAAGGGTCAGCAGCCAGTCAAGGAGGCCACCTGTTCTGACAAGGCCACCACCTCCTTAGGTGTAGTAGTGTGCAGCTCTCTTGGCTCAGATTGGTGTATGAGGTGTCCTTATTCACCGCTCCACCCCCTCCAAGGCCCTTTGCTCACCTGTGCCCTACACATCATTTGTGTTGTTACCACTCCTCTCCCTCTCCTCTCAGACCTGGAGCTCCTCAGGAGAAGGCCCCTGGTGTGCAGGACCTAGGCTAGAACTGGCTCAGTCACATGCCGAGTGGCTGTAGAATAGTGAATGAGTGCCCTGAATGGGGTGAGACCAAAAGCTGCAGACAGCCCGAACTCTAGAGCCGTCTGGAGAATGTAATGCCGCCTTCCTTTGTCCCGACGCACACAACTCCTGGGCCCTGCTCAGACAACTCAGCAGGTGCATGCCAGCTTCTGTGATGCCTTTAGAAAGTACAGGAATTCTTGGTCTGGGGTTGTTGGAGGAATCAGAGAGTCCTTCAAGTGGAAAAGGGAATGGCCCTCAAGTCTGGCCTGCCTTCAGAAAACTTCTCAGGGATAGAAGTTAAGGGAGATGGCCAGGGCTGGGCAAAATTGGAACTAAAAGGAAGAAATGCTTCTGACTGTTGAGCTGTGACCTAGCCCAGGTTGTGGCACACTTCTCATATTCCACGTCCTCTGCTTTCCTGTTGGACACTGCTTGATTCCCAGGTCTTTGTAGAAGCAGCCCACTCCATGGACCCGACTTGCACAGAAAGCTCTGGGTGTGTGGGAGTCTTGGGAGATGCTTGGTTATGTGAAATTTGGGACAGAGGGCTCCTGAAGTTGTGGGTAGGGTTAACCTAACACCAGGCACAATGGGGTGGTGGCGGCAATATTGGTAAAGCCCTGTGGTGTGGACCATGATTGCCCCCTTGTGGAGAGACTACTGCATAGCTCCATACTTCCTCGCCCTGAAGATTCCTCCTGAGCAGGGTGAAATTAACCACCTTTCTTTAAAGTCACCTCTTTAAAAGTGAACTAAACCTTCTAGATACTATACTGGGATACAGGCCCGTGAGGTACTGAGCTGTAAACCCAGAATGCACTGTACAACACACCCAGACCAAATGTACCCCGTATGCTACCAAAAAGCATAACCGATTTTATGACCAGGTCCCTGATTGGAGTTTGGACTTTCTAGCCACATTTATTTATGCTCTTGCTCTTCCAAGCCCGACAATAGGCAGTTACTCTGTAGTGTGTCTGAGAATGCCATTTCCCTGGGTGTTACCTGAGCTGTGCTGCTCTCACTTGTAGTTTCTCTTTGCCCTGTGGCTGTTAGATTTCTTTTCATGAAGCACCAGAGTTGGGATGAACAGCGGGAGTGTGGGGGCTCGTTTGGGGGTTGGCGCACCAACAGTGATAGCGGAGGACAGGTCCGTGACCGTGCCCCACAGGGCTCGGGCCCACCAGGAGGTAGGGAGATGCATTTTGGGACACCGTCACAAGAGTTTCTTTCCACATTTTCTGAATGAAGAGGAAGGGAGGCCGTGCTACCACGATGCCAGTGACATTTCCGGTGCCGCCCGGGCGTTTTCCTGCGTCTCTTCCCTGCTGCCACCCCTCCCCCACCACGCTCCTCTACTTCCAAATGCCATGTCACAGCAGCACGTGGATGTGTTTTTCTCAACTGCCATCAGCTCCAGCTGGCAAGACCAACTTCTTGAAACACAGGAAGCATCCAGCGGAAAATATTTTAATAAAACAGACTCCTCGTAAAATATTGTTCTGGGGGGAAGGAAACCAGCTCCACCAATCTGTCGGCATTGTGTTGGGAGACACGAGAAGACGAGCCGGCAGGCAGGAGCCAGAGCTTAATGGGCCTTTGTCAAAGAGTGGTTCTGTGTTGGGTACGTGGATTCGGCGCCTGGCCCTTTCATCTGGCCTGGGTTTTCTTGAATCCTGGGTCTTCATCGCTGCCCGGAAAATCAAAGCACGTTGGAAACTTAGAGGATTTGGGCGGCGCGAGGAGGTGCAGGATCTTTGAAGCTGAGGGGGGATTCAGTCCTTCTGACTTCTTGCCCCAGCCCTCACTTCCAATAGCACATTCCGTAATTAACTTCAGAGCCGGCAAGATGGAGCTGATTAAGAATGAGAGTGTCCCCTGCAGCCCCTGAGCACTCTGGGATCCATTAAGGCCCAGCCGCAGCAGCCCACAGCCCAGTCCATCGATGAAGCCTGTTCCTTCCTCTCCTGCCGATGTCCCTCCGTCCGTTGCTCCATCTGTGCATTCATGCGTCCACCTATCTTTGAAAACCTGCTAGGTAAACAGCGTGTCAGAAAGGCGGCCTTGAAAGGGAGTCCCCATGCTGACTCCTTTGTGGACTTCCATTTGCCCAAAATGAAATTCTCACCTATCAGATTTTCTTCCTGAATCAAGGGTAGGTTCCTTGCCCCTCTCAGGCCATTTGTTGGCATTAGGAAGAACACTTCTGAAAGATTTCTGGGGAAACCATCTCTCTGTTTTTCAGCTACCATTAGCTGATTAATATGCAGTCTGCCTTTCTCTCCAAGTACCAGCTCTTTCCCTTGTTCTTCCGAGCAGGATTGTTGGAATGCCCTCACCATCGGGAGAGGCCTGAGCTAAACACCAGTCAGCAGGATGCACAGTGTCCTGTGCCCTGTGGGGCTACCTCCCAGACTGGGCCCTCCGACTCAGAATTGCCATTTGTGCTCCCAGGCAGCCCCTGAAAGTGGCCAGGCCAAGACTGAGAATTCTGTTGTTCTTCCTTCTACCCCTGGCACTCTGCTGCCCACCTTGGGACAGGGCCATGGGGATCCAGTTGTAGTCTCTCTTTTCCCAGAAACAGCTCCATGTCCTAAGACGACTTTTCTGGCCCGCCACCCCTCCCCTCAGGTTCCCTGGAGCCCAGAGTCGGGAACCAGAGAGCCCTTGGATCCTCCCACTGCCTCAGAACTGTGCTCATGGGCCCATTAATGTCTCTGCTTGGGGGAGGAAAGAGAAGTAACATTTGCTGAACATCCCTTGAGATTGTGAAAGGTGGGTAGTAGCTTTCGCACATGGAGAAGCTGAGGCTGAGGAAGTGACTTTCAGTAACCTGCCCAAGGTCTCAGGGCCAGGCTCTGGTGGAATTGGCTGTGTAATAACAGGGACCTGGCCCTTTCTTAACTACCATCTTCCTAGTTAACACCTCATACACTTCTGTGCTACTCTGAGTAGAGAGAACCTGGCCACTGTGGAGGGCACAGTGTGGGCTGAAGACCTGTGGACCCACTAGAGTGGGCATGGGTTTCCAGCCAGAGGAGAAGGGGCTTGTGGGCAGAGCTGGGCCTGGGGCCCAGTCCCGATCACCTGCGCATCTGAGCCCTTTCCACCACACACCTTGTCTCCCCACGGGTGAGACACAGAACAGCTTTTCGTCACATAAGGGCTTCACTGAGCATCCTGGTTATTTGAATTTCATTGTACTAAGAATAGTCTAGATCCAGCCACCAGGGCCCCATGAGCCACTGTCCTGCTCACCTCCCTGGCTAGAGCCATTCAAAGTCTCTTTTCAAGTGATTTCTGTTTTTATTTATTTGTCAAAATACTTCAGTAACCTCATGGACAACTCAAAACTTAGGGGAAAAAGATAAAGTCATTCTAGGGCCGGAGATTTAGCTCAGTGGTTCTAACGCCTGCCTCGCAAGCGCAAGATCCTGAGTTCCATCCCTGGTACCAAAAGCAAAAAAAGATAAAAAGAGATAAAATTATTCTGAATCGAAGTACTTTAATTCAAGTATGGCTGTATTTTCTACAGATTCCTTTCTGATCCTTTTCTTTCTCAGAGCTCCGCTTTCCTTGCAAGATCCATTTCTGGACTTGTTGCATGTGTCCCTCATTACCCCTGTGCTTTGTGTCGACAGAACATCCCATTGTGTGTGTATTCAGTCTGCCTAAGCTGCCCCTCATACTAGGTCTTCAGATTGTTTCCAGGTTTTCATTCATATGAAAAAAGCCATATCCTTACTCTCCAAGCTTTGGTTCATTTTATATCACTGTAAGATTTAGAATTAACAGCTACTGGCTGGGCATGGTTGTGCACGCCTGTAGTCCCAGCACTCAGGAGGCTGAGGCAGGAGGATCTCTGTGAGTTCAAGACCAGCTTGGGCTACATAGTGAGTTTCAGGTCAGTCTCAACTACATAGTGAGACCCTGTCTCAAAAAAAACTACTGTTAGCTAAGAACCATGTGCTAAGCACCTCACATACAGCATTTCGTTCACTCTTCATGAGAACTTTGGGGGAGGAGGTAGGCACTATGAGCTCTCTTTCATAGAAGTAGCTGAGCCTCCCATGTTTTGGAACTACTCCTAGTTACACGACTAGTTAGGAGCAGAGTGAGCTTCGACGTGTCTCTTGAATGCCAGAGCCTATGCACTTAACCGCCCACATGGGAGGACTGCCCTGTAGTGCTAAATAACGTTTCTGAAGGAAGAGTACCACCCCAGCAAGCTGGCATTGAAAACCCTCAGGACAAGGAAAAGTACACCAGCTGGGGAGAGAGTCCGTGCACCACACGGCCAGCCCCTGCTGCTGAGGAGCCGAGAGATTGTTTGAACTGCACCACGTGACCCTAGTGCCAAGACCCTGGAAGGTTAAAATAAGATTAGAAGTGCCAGGGCTGTTTAGTGAAAGTCCTGCGCAGAGCCCA